AAAGGGAAGTCTTACTGCAAGTTCTGCCGCAAGGAAGGACATAGACAGAAAGACTGCCAAGACTTTAAGGAGTGGCTGACGAAGAAAGGTAATCATCTTTACATGATACTTGAGTCCTTTAATTTAAATGTTCCAACTAATACATGGTGGTTTGACTCTGGTTCTATGGTTCATGTAACCAACTCACTTCAGGGATTCCTTACAATCCAGAAGCTGGAAAGAAACCGAAGAACACTTAAGCTGGGGAATGGAACAGAACTAGCTGTCGAAGCCATGGGAACCTTAGAATTAATAACGAAAACTGGTTTATGTATTAAACTTTATGATACCTTATATATTCCTGAGATTACTCGGAATTTAGTATCAGGACCAAAGTTAGACATAGACGGTTTTGATGTTTCTCATGGTCATGGCAGACTTACTATTAGTTTCAAGTCTCAAGTGTTTGGTCATGGTTTTCTGGATGGTGGTCTCTATAAATTAGAACTAGATGATGATTTTTCCATATCTTTGTTGTCATATAATATCAATCAGACATTAACAAAGAGAAAACGAAAACGAGACTTAGAAACTTCATCCATGTTGTGGAATCAACGCGTAGGCCACATTTCACGAGAAAGTTTGTCTAGACTCGTGAAGGATGAAGTGTTACCATCTCTCGATTTCAATGATTTTGGAACATGTGTCAAATGCCTTAAAGGTAAAATGACATCAGTGAATAAGAAAGGTGCCACTAAGAGTTCTAATTTATTAGAACTCATTCACGCTGACATTAGTGGTCCTTACTCTATCACTGCTATAACTGGACATAACTCATTTATCACTTATATTGATGATTATTCTCGTTATATGTACTTGTATCTTATTAAGGAAAAATCTGAATCACTTACAACTTTTAAAGATTATAAAACTGAAGTTGAAAAACAACTTGATCGTCAGATAAAAGTTGTAAGATCAGATAGAGGAGGTGAATATTATGGTAGACATACTGATGTGGGTCAAGCTCCTGGTCCATTTTACTCCTGGTCCATTTTATGAGTTTTGTAAGGGCCAGGGGATCGTGAACCAATATACTATGCCTGGTACTCCTCAGCAGAACGGTGTTGCTGAGAGAAGAAATAAGACCCTAATGGACATGGTACGCAGTATGTTAGCCAACTCAGGTTTACCTCTATTTCTCTGGACCGAGGCCTTAAAAGCAGCCATTCATATACTCAATAGGGTTCCTTCTAAAGCTGTCCGTAAAACTCCTTATGAACTCTGGACAGGAAGGAAATCAAGTCTAAGATATATGAAAGTATGGGGTTGTCTCGCCGAAGCTAAACTTTATAATCCCTTCTTAAAGAAACTCGACATGAAAACTGTAACTTGCTACTTCATTGGTTATCCTTCTCACTCAAAGGGTTACAGATTTTATTGTCCTTCCCACATCACTCGCATTGTAGAAACCAAAGATGCTCATTTCCTTGAAGATTTTAAGGTCAGTGGGAGCAGTGAAAACCCTTATGATGAATTGCTAGAAGTACAAGAAGCGGGGTGGAGAGACTTGTCGATTACTTTACCTCCAATTACTCTTCTTGTACTCAATGCCAATCCGCAGGACACTCCACCACCTCCTACTCCAAATGTACTTGGAAATGAAGACACCTCAAATGATCACCATCAAGACAATGCCGCCAATGCTCAATCCGAAAATTTGCTCAGGAGGTCATCTAGGTCTAAAAGGCCTACTAACTTTGATGATTATGTTACCTACCTGACTGAAGCAGAAATGGATGCTGGAAAGTTTACTGATCCTACCTCTTATAATGAAGCCATTAACAGTGATCAGTCTTCAGAATGGAATAAAGCAATGATTGAAGAGCTTGACTCCATGAAGAAAAATGATGTTTGGGATCTGGTTGAATTGCCCAACGGTGTAAAACCCGTAGGATGTAAATGGGTCTTCAAAACAAAACTGGACCCGAATGGAAACATTGAACGCTACAAAGCGAGATTGGTTGCAAAGGGCTATACTCAGAAAGAGGGAATTGACTATCAAGAGACCTTTTCTCCTATCTCTCGAAAGGATTCCTTAAGGATCGTTATGGCCCTTGTAGCTCACTTTGACTTAGAGCTACATCAGATGGATGTCAAAACCGCTTTCCTTAATGGCGATTTGGATGAAGAAGTGTTCATGAAACAACCCGAAGGATTCAAATCTTAAGGTCAAGAGCACCTAGTCTGTAAGCTAAAGAAATCCATATACGGGTTGAAGCAGGCATCACGTCAATGGTACCTAAAGTTGCATCAAGTCTTGAAGTCAGAAGGTTTCATAAAGAATCAAGTGGATCAATGCACCTACCTTAAGATGAGTGGGAGCAACTTTACTATACTTGTCCTTTACGTAGATGACATTCTATTGACAAGTAATAGTTTAGACATGTTGCATGAGTCCAAGCGCTTACTCTCGCGTAATTTTGACATGAAAGATCTCGGAGAGGCTTCTTATGTTATTGGCATCGAAATACACCGAGATAGAGTCAATGGTATTTTGGGATTATCTCAAAAGGCCTACATTCAGCGAGTCCTTACACGTTATAACATGCAACATTGCTCTCCTTCTGTGGCGCCAGTAGTTAAGGGAGATGTTTTTGGTTTATTTCAATGTCCAAAAACAGAGGTTGAAAAAGAACAGATGAGAATGATACCTTATGCGTCAGTAGTAGGAAGCCTTATGTATGCACAAGTCTGTACTCGTCGAGATATCGCTTACATTGCTGGAATGTTAGGTCGTTATCATACCAATCCTGGTCTTGATCACTGGAAAGCAGCTAAGAAAGTTCTTCGATATCTACAAGGGACAAAAGACTATAAACTGACTTACAGAAGGAGTGATAATTTAGAAGTGGTTGGTTATTCTGATTCAGATTTTGCTAAGTGCAAAGATGACAAGAAATCCACTTCAGGGTATATCTTTATGTTAGCTGGCGGACCTATCTCGTGGAAGAGTCATAAGCAAGAGTTGACTGCAACTTCTACAATGATGGCAGAATACATTGCGGTGTACAACGCAACCTGTCATGGGATGTTGCTTAGAAACCTCATCACTGGACTCAAAGTAGTTAATTCCATCTCTCGACCATTGAAGCTTTATTGTGATAACTCACCTGCCGTTAGTTTCTCGAACAGTAATAGTTCGACTGGCGCTGCTTTATATCTTGATACAAAGTACTTGTTCGTACGTGAGCGAGTTGAGGAAAATAAACTTTGTATTGAGCATATGAGTACTAAGAATATGCTTGCGGATCCGATGACTAAAGGTCTTCCTCCTAAGATTTTCGAAGAACATGTTTCGAAGATGGGGTTCTCTAAAAACCTTATTTAGTTGCATATTGTACTTGCTTACATTTAATAATAAAATTTCCTCATTGTTTTGTTTGTTTTGTCTCTGAATGTGTCTATGCATGCCTAAAGACATATAGACAACATTTATATACAAAATAATGTTATGGGCTTAATTGTCAATTTGATCCTTAGCTTATTTAAGTTTTAAATTTGGTATTGTAGTATGATTAATGGGGTCTTGAATTGAATATCGATTCAATGACTGTATTTCTCTGCTACAGTTTCGGTTTAGAACTAAAATGAGTATTAAAATCTGATCAGACTTATCTAATACTCATCATAAATGATTATCCAGCCAAGTGGGAGAATGTTGGACACGATTTTATTATGTGGCCTGAGTTATCATTTATCTAATTAATTGATCATTGACCTAATAAATACCCTACGTATTTAATTGTTAATTATTCGATGGACGTAATTACCCTTATGACCTAATTAGGGTTTCCCTTGGGTGTATATATATATAGAGGTCATTAGGCAGAGAACAATACACCAATCTTACGCCTTCTCTCTGCCTCTCTATTCTCGTGAGTTATCCTCACCTTAGCCATCATAACGATACACCCTAAACGAAAACTTGATCTGCGTGAGAATCATGGCCTCATCCCTAACTACGTTTACAGGATTATCAGGTACACATGATTAAATCCCTAATTTATATTTTATGTTTAAGAATTGATCAACATCACAGTCCAATCCCAGTAGCAAACTGAAACACACGGAAGACCGACAGGCAACTCCTCGGTGAAGCTCCTTCAGTCGCCGACGAAACCATTCAGACCGGCGACCAACAGCTGCATCAGTAGACCGGTTTAGCCAACGGGAATACCGTACAGAATGTCCGTCGCAGCAACCTGGAGCAATTTTGACATGACCCATACGAATCTCCCCACCTTCGACGACGCCCAGCGGTGACCCGGCGGCTTCGGCTACTCTAGAATTTAGCGTCAGCCGACGACGATCTTGGATTCACCACCCATCTCCGACTAGATCTGCCATTGGCACACGGAAGACCACCTTCGACTTCAAAGCACGACGGGAGAGCCTTGCCGTAGATCTGCTGCAGATTCGTCGTCCCAAGAGCCAATTGACGACCCCCAACAGGCGTCCACCTCGTGCTTTAGCCGGCAACGATCCACCGGCGACGACCGTACGGACGAGACGACCAAAAGCTGCGTGCCATCCTGCCTCTGCGCAGCCAGCAACGAAGGCTCTAGAGCAGCGACAAACTCCAGTCAATGGGTGATAGCTCCAGATCTGTCGCTGCTCCGTTCACTTCTTTGTTCCGGCGAGCCGTCCCCTATCATGGCGACCAACACCGGTAAAACCCAGCGGCCACCTCGCTGCTCCGTTCACTCCTTTGTTCCGGCGAGCCGTCTCGTGTCATGGCGACCAACACCAGTAAAACCCAGCGGCCACATCGCTGCTCCATTCCCTCCTTTGTTCTGGCGAGCCGTCCTTTGTCGTGGCGACCCACTCCCGCACGAAGCCGCTGACAAAGATGGTCAGGGATGGATGTTTCTTCTTTCCAGCCTGTAAAGGAGGAAAAGCTAGGCAAGTGGGTTTATTATGGGAGAAAGACTAAACTAGTACTAAAACATTGAGAATATACCAAAATAGGATTTTCATGTTTTTATTCTCGAAATAGGACTTACATTACCAAACATGATCATATACATTACCAAAAAAGTATAGTAATTTGTACATGTACACTGCCACATTACCACAATGCAAAGTCACATTACCACAATGCAAAGTCCTATTCTGGAAAAAAAACATGAAAATCTTATTTTTGTACTTTTCTTTGTGTTTTAGTCCTATTTAGGATGATTTCTAGTTTATTATTCATATGTGGGTCCCTAGATTCCCTAAAGATAAGTATTCTCACACCATCATTTTAACCACTCCGTATTATTATTATTATTATTATTATTATTATTATTTTAATTATTATTATTGTTATTTTATACCATATTATCAATATCACCATTGGTATCATTTACTATCATTTACTCTATTATTATTGTCATTACCTTATCCATCACATGTGATTGGGCCTCATATGGGCGATGGTATTGCACTTTGTGTTCAACACTTTAAGCCCTAATGTGGGACAGGTGTGTAGCTTAATCTCACACCCCACACAGGCCACCGACCTGCCTCATGGCATGGCTCAGATCCAATTCATTTGTTCATTCCTTAGCGAGGCCGGGTAAAACCTCTTTATGAGGTGTTGAAGATCGTCTGCAATGATATTATCGCGAGGCCGAGGTAAGACGTCCCCCGCGATGCATTCACATCCGTCTTCCACGACGCGATCTTATTTCCTCTTCCACGAGGCTGAGGTAAGACGTCCACCGCGACGCGCTCCCATCTGTCTCTCACGACGCGATCCTTTTTCCTCTTCTACGAGGCCGAGGTAAGCCCTCTCCACGAGGCACTCCAAATCGTCCGCGATGATATTATTCGTGAGGCCGAGGTAAGCCGTCCATCTCAACGCACTCCGATCCGTCTTCCACGACGTGAACTATTTCCTCTCTGATCTAAGGCGAGAGGTACATCATTTGTGCCTATCTCACTTACCCGAGCAGCTCTCATTTGAAGACCTCGGTCTCACTAGGGATGACATCAAGGTTTGTTCTAGACAAGACTACTACACAATCGGCACACTTCACTGATAAGACCCATCTTTTGTCCAAAACTTTGGACTCAACTCATATGTTGCCTTACTATTCTCGGTCGCGTGGTGATCGGTCCATCCGAGCCCGCGAGTGCCTTGTATTCTTTTTTAAACTTATTTTGCAGGTCAGAAGGATGAGAAGGCCAAGATCGGCTTCGGCCACCTTACAAGGCACACATGCCCCCATCTCATGAGGCACTCGAGCTCGGCCTTAGCCCCCTCATGAGGCACTCGAGCCCGAGCCTCGGCCTTGCCACTCAAGTTCAGCCCCAACCACTCAAGCTCGGCCTCAGGCACTCGAGCTCGGCCCACCCACTCAAGCTCGGCCCAGCCACTCAAGCTCGGCCTCAGCCGCTCAAGCTCGGCCTTAGCCACTCAAGCTCGGCCTCAACCACTCGAGCTCGGCCTCAGGCACTCAAGCTCGTGAGGGAGCCATAGACTCCCGTCGGCGCCGAGCATGGACACTACTCCCCTTCACCTCGGAATTCTTCCTCGGCTTAGGGAGTGGGGGACTCCAGGTGCTCGGCTCGTAACTATTGCATATCACTGCAGGGGAGCTTGGCGATCGACATCCCAACCTTGTACCAGACCGTAGCATTCCGTGTCGGCATGCACTCGTTGCAATACACTACGATGAACAGCCCTCGACTCAGGACAACGAGTCCGGGGTACATGAAGATCACTACTTCTAAGATTCACACAGAAGACCTCACACCCTAGCAATGTTTTCTTGATCCACTCTGTGGGGCGAGATGTACTCTTTTCTTGACCGAGGATTTTTTCCCATCCTCATGGGTTTTTTCCTTGGCAAGTTTTTAATGAGGCATCCCCGTGGAGTGGGTCACACATTGATGGGATTGTGGGAGGATGTTTGAAGATGACAAACAGACTGTAGATGACGACTTATTCATCCACTCTTATGGTGATTGTTGCACTCTGAACAGTGAACCGACAATGTACTTTGTACGAGAGCAGATCATTTAAAGACAATGAGCAGATTGAGGCAGACTTTTTTACCTTGACGCTCCGGACAGCGAGTCGGTAGCGCACTTCAGCTCATTGCTACAATTTCTTTCATTTTGTTGCTCTGGACAGCGAGTCGGCAGCGCACTTCATGCTTAGTGCTACGATTTCGTTCTTTTTGCCGCTCTAGACAGCGAGTTGGTAGTGCACCTTGTATCCATGGGTGCAGATTCTTTTACCTCGCCTTACTCTGGACAGTGAGTTGGCATTACATTTTCAGACTAATGGAGTTGCTTGCCTTACTTCACCGTGCTTGGGACAGGGAGTTGGCGGCGCACTCCAGACAGCAAGGAAGACGGTGTCCTTCCATGGTGGATTTTTGTTCTACTTCGACTTCACCTCGAGTTCCTCTCGAATCGGGAAGTGGGGGACTCATGATGGATACCCTGGATAGGGGTATCTGGTCTTTGTATAATTTTAGTTGGGGAGGTCCAGTCTATTGGACCGGCCCGTTAGTCGTGTGTTAACTATTTATTCGAGGGCGGCCCAGTCTGTTGGGCCGGCCCATTAACCCGAAACCCTAGCCCTAACTATCCTTATTTATACTCCTCTTCTTGGAAGAAGAGGGGTGGTGGTGAGGGAAGGTGGCTCAATACTACACACACCAACACTATTCATCATTTTCTCCACTTTTCTTCATACATTTTCCTCATTTCCTCTACCCATGGATTCCATAATCCAACACAAGACATGAACACAAGGAATAGCATCGGCATTCCATCAGCCACAAGTACATATACGAGACCCCAGGTTCACCATGTATCTGTAGATTGATGATGGATCAAAATGAGAAGTATGACTAGCAACATACTGATTGTTACGGTAGAATACAACTACCCACTGGTATTTTCTTTTTTCACGGCTTCGAAGGATGCTCATGACTTTTGGTGTAATATAGTCACTTTTTAATTGCCACTGAAGAGAAATTTTGTACATTTTTGCTAACGATTTGACCATTTTGTGTTATGACATCGTCAAAATCGCTGTGACCCGTAACATCCGACATTCCTTAAGCATATTATTAAAACTCTTAAAACCATTTGTGGTGAGGATCCCACATCTAAAACCACCATCAAAACATAGAGTCCAAGCTTCATGTGGAATTTCATTCAAATTATTATTATACGCCTCTTCACTTGTATTTTATATTTTTCCCCTATAGCTAAAGAACTCTTGGATATTGAGTGTGCTCTCGCTGGCCTAGACCATACGCTTAAGGTGGAACTTTTTCCACACTTACTCAAACTTCAAATATCCCTCCTTATGCATATCCCCGTCTTGTTTTCCAATATCAAAAAGGGGGAAATTGTTGGAACACAGGTTTACGTCTATGTTGTACTAAAGCCTTGTTACTTTCATGACAGGTTTTGATAATGCCAAACCGCCATGACACCAAGAAGATATTGAACAAACTAAAGGCGAAGAAACAAGGTAGATTGATCAAGTGAAAACGAGAACCAAGAACTAAGAACAGAGACGTAGAAATAGTTGAGTCGGTCTTTGTGTGATCAAGACCGGCATTGACTTTACAATTTGGCTCTCTATGCTAAATACATTCAAATACTTTTCATGCATCATCAAAATCATTTTCATAAGTTTTAATATAATAAGCCTAAAAACTTTGAATTCGCCCAAACCAAAAACTAAGTCATCCAGCGTTCGGCTTTCAGAAACCGACTTTTGGTTTTCAGAAACCGTCATTTGGCATTCAGTCATCGGCATTGGTTTTTGACATCCGCACCAACCAAGTTGTTTTTAACCTTTTATGATTGGTTTTTACTTCTGGGAAAATTTTAAATAGTTCTCCAACCAAAACGCTTCAAATTAAAAACCACCTTTCGTGTGAAACGGCATAAGCTTGGCTAGCCGTGGTTTTTACCTAAATGATGTGGTTTTTAAGATATTTCGCTTGGTTTCTTAGTAGAATACATTAAATAAGTGTTTTCAACACTTGGTTTTAAATTTGGAGAACTTTGATTTTTGACATCGGCTTTTGGTGTTGACTGGCTAGCCATGGTTCTGGCAAACCAGCCCAACAGCGATGTTGGAGTGACCAACAACGCTGTTTGGTGTTAGCACTTGAAAACCATTGTTTGGCACTAAGTCCTCCAACAGCGATGTTGGTTATTGTACATCGCTGTTGAGCCAAGCCTGAAATTCTAGAAGCTTTTTGATCAGCGATGTAGATTACTCTACAGCGATGTTCAACTCAAGCCAAGAGAAAATGAGTTTGGCAGATTATTTTTGAACAGCGATGTTGGCTAAGTAACATCGATGTCCGGCCAATTTCTTCCTTGGCAAGATCAGTCTGAACAGCAATATTCATTTATGAACATCGATGTAGGCACCTGATCGTTGGAAGAAATTAAAGGCTAAAATTTTCCATGTTTAGAATTCAACACCTTGAACAGCGATGTTCACATTCTCAACATCGCTATTGGAATGACCGTTGAAGCTTCCAATTCAAAAGTTTAAGCCTCAACAGTGATGTTCAAGTGATGAACAACGCTGTTATGCCAAATTTCAACAGATCCGGTTTTAATCAAATCCCACAACATATGCCAATCACCCACAATCAACTCCCACACTTTGGAGCCTATTTTTCTACTATAAAATGAGGTGTTTGGGTCTGCTTTTCTTATCAAATAACTTCACAACTCATAATACATCATTGCATTTCATTCTCATATTTTTTATAGCTTTTGAGAGCCATTCGTGTGAAATTCTTATTGTGTTCTTGAGCGTATTATTTTACTCATTATCCACTCTTTTGAGAGAGCTTTGTTCTTGAGTGTCTTAGTGTTTTACACACTTTAAGGGAAGCTTGTTTCCCTTGGTTGTACGAGGATGGGTATCTTCCTTCGGGTTGATGTCTTGGAGTGCAGTAACTCCAAGCAAGTGTTTTGAGGCTCGTGGGACTCGACTTCTCAGGTTGTAACGGTTTTTTAAGAACCCATAAGCTTAACGGAAGTAGTGTAGCTCGAGAGAGTCTCTCGAGAGACTGGACGTAGCCACACGTTGTGGTGAACCAGTGTAAATCTTGGTGTGATCCCTTTACGCTTTTCACGCTCTTTACTTTTAACGCTCTTAAATTTTTTTTATTCCTTTGAATTTTTGTTTAAACGCTATTCGCCCCCCTCTAGCGTTGAGACCTAAATTTAACAACATATCCACTACTGGTGGCTGGCTCTGGAGGAAGGTGTTGTAGGTACAGACTTCTCAGTGTGGGACTCCAGACGTTCATTCATCCTCTTCATTTGCTTCTTATGGGCTATATGGTCAGCCTCCATGATGTCCTTCATGTCCTAGATGCTGGTCTCTAGAGTATCCATCCTCATGTTAATCTTCCTCATCTCGTCCAAGATGTTTTGCAGGATGGAAGCCTCAACGCCACTCAATGATTCCGTGTGAGTCCCAGGCTGAACGATCGAAGATGAACCTCCAGCTACAAATGTCCTAGTAGTGGTATTAGGAATAGGGGAGTGGATAGTAGTCTCGAGATCATCAAAGAAATCAAACAGTGGCTCATCCGTCTCCCCCACCCAACGCTTCTTCACTATCCCCATATTGGTGAGAGACGTGGAGCTCAAGGGTCGAATGCTCTAGTCAATGGTCAGTAAATTGCCCGGCATCTCAGGCAGAAATGATCGTGCAAAGCGGCATACGAAGGGTCATGCCTCAAGTGTATTCCTGTGCTCTTTCCCTGAAGAAGGAAGAACTGCGCCATGAAGACATCTACATTCACCTAGACCCTCTTTTCTAAGATCTAGAAGAAATAAATATTCTTCATGCCGACCCGGTTTGAGTTGAATTGGTCGGGCAACCAAAAAGACCATGGGAGAGCACAAAACTGAGTATCCTCCAAGAACTACTCCTCCACTGACAGGTGTGCGCCGTGTTCTTGTTGAACGGCGTTGTTGACAAGAAGTGTTGTAGCCAGAACTGCTTGACGCCAAACTCCGAGGGCAAAGAGTATGGGAGGGCAGTAAAGATAGGCGAGCGTGCCTCCTCCTTAGTATAAATCCCAAGGCGCCTCCCGAACTCAGCGATGGTGAGAGTGAAGACTCGTCTAGACAGTGAGAATGTCTGTGTAGAATCTGGTCTGACCTCGGCTGCATCCTTAATGGGACAATTGAAATGCATGAGTTCAACCCTTTATGTGTTGTTAAGTGTTGGCTAACAGGTTTTGATAATTGACAAACACAATTTATTCAAATCAAGATCAAAGTGCTATAATGACAATCACGAAGACTTGAAGTGCAAATTCCTTAAAGTATTCAAGAAGGTGCACAAGATTTTATTGGAGTCCGAGACGCATTCAGAGCGCCTAATAGAGGACTTGGGTGGAGTAGAAGATTTCTACAGATTTTTTATTTGATTTGAGTCTTAGAAGTTATTGTAAGGATGACAAAGATTATCTTCTCTCCAAAATTATTTTTATGAGAGTTAAAATAAAAATTATATTTATTTTTGGAGTCAGTTGAAAAATCCTTTTAATTATTCAAAATACATTTATTGAGTTAGTTACAAAAGGTGTGTCAAATATTTATCAAAATATTTATTTTGATATTAGAAAATATTTTTGGAAAGCAAAAATATTTTATTCAAATATTTTTGTGTTCATCATTTGACACACAAAATATTTTTTAAGACTCATTTTCTACACAAAAAATACACTTTCAAAATTCAAATTTGAATTATCTTTGATGATTGGCCCATTGGTTTGATTTTCATGCCCAAAACAAGTGCTAAATTCCAAATAAGCACTTCACCTCGCACACATGATTGTGTCCTTCATGTTTGGGCATTATTGTTTCGAAAATTGATTTTACTTTGAGAAAAACAATTATCCTATTTCAGGACAGTCTGATAATCAATTATCAGAATGTGATAATCGACTATTAGGACTTGCGGAAGTTGGTTTCAATCAACTGAGAAAGCCAATAATCGATTATCAGAATATGATAATCGACTATCACTGGGAGCTGAAACAAATAATCGGTTTTCACTCACATAGAAATTGATTTTTTTACTCTAGTTTTTCAGCAAAATTTTTGTTCTTTGGACCAACGGATATATTCCTTTCACCCCTTCATAAACAACTCAAGATTTGGGGAGTTTAGGAGTGCTTGTTCATACTAAAAAGAGAGAATACAAAGAACACACTGATGTATACTGGTTCACCACCTCGTGGCTAGTCCGGTTCCCCAAGAAACTCTCTCGAAGTTACCACTACTTCCGTTAAGCTTACGGGTGCTTAACTAACCGTTACAACCTGAGAATTTGAATCTCTCAAGCCTCAATACAACTACTCGTAGATGTGCCCTCTACAAGACTTCACAACCAAGACTTAAGTCACATAAGTCTTGTACAATGAAAAGAACAATCTTCTTCAACCTCTCAACATAAAATCTCACAAGAGTAGAAAAGAGAAATGATTAAGCTCTAATGGATGACAAGAACACTCTCTTGAAAACAAATAGTTTTCTCTCAAAATATATAAATTTGAGGAAGAATTAAATGGATGATTATAACTTCAAGATAGGGGAGTTTAGGAGTGCTTGTTCATGGTAAAAATGACCTAGGAATGGTGTATATAAAGGGGTGGAAAGAATATATCCATTGGAGCTAAGGATAATGAGTTTTCTGAAAAACCAGAGTAAAAAATCGATTTCTAGGTGAGTGAAAATCGATTATTTGTTTTAGCTCCTAGTGATAGTCAATTATCAAATTTTGTAATCGATTATTGGCTTTCTAAGTTGATTGAAACCAACTTCTGCAAGCCCTGATCGTCGATTATCACATTCTGATAATTGATTATCAAACAGCCCTGAAATAAGATAAATGATTTTCTCAAAGTAAAAATTGATTTTCAAAGCAATATTGCCCAGACATGAAGGACACAATCATGTGTGCGAGGTGAAGTGCTTATTTGGAATTTAGCACTTGTTTCGGGCATGAAAATCAGACCAATGGGCTCCCCAATCATCAAATATAATTCAAATTCAAATTTGAATTATGAGTGTATTTTTTGTGTAGACAATGAGTCCCAAAAATATTTTGTGTCAAATGATGAAAACAAAAATATTTGAATAAAATATTTTTGCTTTCCAAAAATATTTTCTAATATCAAAATAAATATTTTGATAAATATTTGACACACATTTTGTTACTGACTTAATAAATATATTTTGAACAGTTAAAAGGAATTTTCAACTGACTTAATAAATAATCTTTGTCATCCTTACAATAATTTCTAGGACTCAATAAAATAAAAAGTCTTCGTAAAATCTTCTACTCCTACGAGTCCTCCGCTAGGCACTCCGAACGCGTCTCGGACTCCAATAAAATCGTGTGCACCTTCTTGAATACTTCAAGGAATTTTCACTTCAAGTCTTCGTGTTTGTCATTGTAGCCCTTTGATTTGACTTGAATAAATTGTGTTTGTCAATTATCATAACCTGTGAGTCAACACTTAATAACACAGAAAGGGTTGAACTCATGCATTCCAACAATGTTCTCTGGCTTGCCACGGCCCGGTATCAAGATGACAGGCACCAAGGCAAGGTGCCCATCAATCTTTGGAGGATTTTGAGCCATTAACCGAAGTGGCAACAACTCAACAATTCTGACACCGAATCGTCAAAGAAAAGATCCTTCGTCAACGCCGAGGTTGATGTCGATGACACTATCAGTTCCAAACAAAGGCCTCCCTTCAACATTGCGGATTCTGATGATGAGGACCCCATTCCATGGCCGATCGGAATAAAGAAGGCAAAATCCATTGCCTCGGGTTCTAGAGGATCCGGCTCTGTTTCCGTTTATTCTCACGACGATATCGGTCAGGCAGTGCTTGAACAACTTCGAGTGTTCAATATTCAAGAAGTATAGAGGGCGAGATGAAAGGAAGAGAAGGACCAGATTGAAATAATGGAAACCGACCTTGATACGTTATCGGCCTTGAAACGTATGATCTTCGAGAGAAGACAAAAACAGATCAAGGCTAAATATAATTTACGTTACAACAATACAACAATAACAACCCAGTTAAACCCCACAAGAGTAGGGTCTGGGGAGGGTGTGTGTACGCAGACCTTACCCCTACTCGAAAATAGAAAGGCTGTTTCCAAAGAGACCCCCGGCTCAACGTCGAAAGTCGCATTGCTTGACTAATTGCTACTTTATTAATTAAGGAAGTGCAGACAGTTTAGAGATCTATTTTGGTTTATTCCATCACACCCCAAAGCCGAAAAATGGTGAATTTTTGATTTATTCCATTTTACCTAAGTTTTTTTATTCATGTATTTTTTTATTGTCGCTTTCTTTTTTTTTTTAAATTTAATGAATGTAATCTTTTTAAATTATTGTCGCTTCAATTTCTTTTAATTTAATGAATGTATTTTTTTATTATTCTGGTTTCAATAAATTAAATAATAAAATAATTAAATTTTATTAATTTAGTTTTAGAAGATGTATATTTAAGAATGTAAAAAATGAAGATTTGAAGCCCATGTTTGTAGCCCCGGGGCTTCAAACCCATTTCTACTGAATCTGTGAGGTAAGTTAAAGCTGACGTGACAGAGAGAGAAATTTTGAAACCCCGGGGCTTCACGGGTATTTCCAGTGCCCTTATATATATATATATATATATATATATATATATATATATATATATATATATATATATATTGCATTGTTATCTTTTTAGAATTATCTTTCAAACCCCCCATATCTTTTAGTTTAAGCTATTAGATTTTAGTAGTTGTTTTTCTTTAATAAAAGTGACAAGTAAACTGATTTTCATAGTAAAAAAAGTATCTTTCCTCGTGGGATTGATCAGTATTTGCCCTATCTATATGTTTTGATGAATATTAATTCATAAAGAGGGGTTTAAGTTAAGGATCAAAATAAATTAATTTGTAGGTTCTATGACACGCCTATCAGTGCTATTTTAGTTGTTTGCTGTTAAGCTTAGCTTAGATCATGTTGTATACTTGTTTGAGATGCTTCAATATATTCTTGCTTTTGGTTCAAAAAAGTATTCATTTTGTCTCGACATTTTAAAAAAATAAAAACTTTTTTAGAAAAAAAAATGAAAATATTTAATTCGATAAATGAAGTATATGTTAAATTTTTATTTCATTTTTTATTTTTAACACACACATTTTTTATTTTTTTAAAATTTTTTAAAATATAGTTTTGAAAATTAAATTTTATTTATTTCAAACAAATTTTTTTCTCTTTATGAAAAAAAGGATAACAATAAAGAAAAAAGCAGAGGGTCATTGGTGTCCATTTCTAAAACCAGCATCAGAACTATTCAACTAAAATTTGAAAAATATTTTTTATTTAAAGGGACATTGACATAACAATATTTGAGCTATAAAGCGCAAAAATGTAAACTATGAATAACGGTACATACTCCATCCTTCCTGAAATATTCGTCCAGTTTTGACTTTTGAAACTGTTCATCTAAGCACATTGACTCATCAAATTCCATCAATGTGTAAGCTTAAATATAATCATGTGTGATCTTGTTTGATTTGTCTTTACATATAAATTAGTAATATAGAATTTCTATAATTTTTTAATATACAAATTATATTACAAGATAAAATGGATCAAAGAAGTATATTGGATGGTGTGTAAAAATGAAAGTGGACAAATACTCTGGGACAGAGGTAGTATTTAACAAACCAAAAGAGAATATATAATGTATTAAAATGGTCAATTGGGAAATGATACTCGAAATATTATGGTCAGATAGAGAAAATAAATAAAGAAATTTTTGCTTAGGTGAGCAATTACAAGGATACCTCAGGTACATTGGTTTTGCCAACGCGCCCTTGAGGCTTGCCCCATTTAACTACCCTTATCTTCACTTTCCGTATCAGATTATCAATCGTTTGCTTGCTCTTCCCACAAGCTTAGCTGCGCAACTGGCGAAAATGGGGTTCGGGCTATTAGCTTCACATTTTATCAGAACCCGAACAATAAACCCTAGAAATCACTACCTTTTCTTCCGTTCAATCGTAACTAAACCTGAGCGCCAATCTCCGGTATCATCCGCGGCAACTGCAGCTCCACAACCTGAACCAGATCCTTTACCTCCGCGGACACCGGTGGGAGGTGCGCGTGTCCACTTTCCGAACCCGGAAGACGCCATAGAAGTGTTTGTCGATGGATATCCCTTGAAAATCCCTAAGGGAATGACAGTGTTACAGGCTTGTGAAATTGCAGGTGTTGACATTCCTAGATTCTGTTACCACAGTAGGCTTTCCATCGCCGGCAATTGTCGTATGTGCCTTGTTGAAGTCGAGAAATCTCCAAAGCCAGTAGCTTCTTGTGCTATGCCAGCACTTCCCGGTTAGTTTTTTTTTGAAATTTTTATTTTTGTGCTTCAGGTCAAGTATTTCAATATGGGTTTTATTTTACTCAGGGATGAAGATTAAGACTGACACACCTTTGGCAAAGAAGGCACGTGAAGGAGTGATGGAGTTCTTGCTGATGAATCATCCATTGGATTGTCCAATATGTGATCAAGGTGGAGAGTGTGATCTTCAAGATCAATCTATGGCTTTTGGATCTGATCGTGGCCGCTTCACTGAAATGAAACGTTCTGTGGTCGATAAGAATCTTGGTCCTTTGGTGAAGACTGTCATGACTCGATGCATTCAGTGCACAAGGTCTCAATTTACTACCTATTTCTTCTCATATTATGTAAAGATTGTTTCTCGAAGTTTTTGATATAGTCAGAGAGCCAAAGTCACTAGCAGGAACATTCTTTCCGATTTCTTAATTTCCGCACCTTTAGAGTGTTTATAAGACTCATTATTTTGGAGCTTCTTAAGGACTCACTAAACGTATGATAAACTATCATCCTTGTTTGTCATGTCATAGTGTTCCTTTTGACCCACTGTCCCAAAGCAAAGCTATTGAATTGTTTATTTTAAGACCTTGGTAACAGTAAATAATTTAAAGGGGCAAAACTAGTGAGTTTGCTTTTGCACTCTATTTTACACGAAGAAGATTGAAAGTTTGAGAAAATTTAGTTTTCTTGTTTTAGTCACTGAGATGACTTGTAGTTTTTTAGAATTAGAACTCGGCTGGTCTATTTTGCTAAAGTATGACAGTTTTGTTTCTATGTTTATTTTAGGAGGCTAAGGAGGCATCTATATAGTAAGGGTTCGTCTGCTTAAATTTACAAATTCATGATCATTAGAGTTGTACTTCCTTTTATCCTGCCAATTCCTTGTTGGATTGGGTTTTTAATATAGCTGTCACACTTATTAGCTTTAATAACTATTTTTCCCATCGCTATTGAAGCAATGGAGCTCGTCTATTTTGTGCAATTTTTTTCTGCATGGAGCGAATGATATTTGATTTTTTATACGTTGACACACACCAAAACTTTACAACAACACACCCAATATAATCCCAACTCTCTTGGGTCTAGGGTCAAGATGTACGCAGCCCGACCCTTGTTAAAAGGTGTTTGCTTTTGTTAAGCCCTTGATGCATTGTTATATTTACCTCCCAAAACATCACAGAAAGAAAAAATCAGGGAACTTTAAAGTCCCATTTTGATTTAGCCCAATATTTACTCAAAGCTAAAACATTGTCAATGACTCTTTTAGCTTCGTTGGCGATAGGCACACACGCACACCTGAACTCTTGATTTTTATATATGACCTTAGTTCTAGTGAGAATGAGATCTAATGAAAGATAGAAAAAAGCATGTAGGGCATTTGAATGTAAGATCTAAGGACTATTAAAAATAAAAAATCTGGAAAAATTATAAAAATTGCGGTGGCAGTTTTGTGTGTGTGTGTGTCTATATTATATATATATATATATATGTATGTATGTATGTATGTATGTATGTATAAAAAGACAATTGTTGAGAAGTGAAAAGTATTGGTGGATTAGTGGAATTTGTTTACATGAGAGACGTTTTGTGAGCCATATGCTCATTTTTTTAAAAGTGAAGTGTTTATTGGGTGAAGTTTTTTTGGAACATCCAAAAAGGGAAAGTAGGAAGATTTTTGCGGGACTTATGGAGTATACACAGCCTAAGACATGCATATACCCAGTGTTGGAAATTTTCTGACTCAAATGGGTAATTTTTTTAATCCACAGGTGTGTCAGGTTTGCCACAGAGATTGCCGGAGTGCAGGATCTTGGCATGCTGGGTCGTGGCAGTGGAGAAGAAATTGGGACTTATGTTGAAAAGCTCATGACCAGTGAATTATCTGGAAATGTGATAGATATTTGTCCTGTTGGAGCCCTTACCTCTAAGCCATTTGCTTTTAAAGCCCGAAACTGGGAGTTAAAAGGTACCGAGAGTATTGATGTCACTGATGCAGTTGGGTCCAATATTCGGATCGATAGTAGAGGACCAGAGGTCATGCGTATTCTTCCACGGCTGAATGAGGTACAATTGAAACTGTTGCATTTTATGTCACCTGTTTTTTTATATTCTTGTGTCGGGAGACGTGCTGGGTCACTGCCTTAGGAGATTGTATTGGATTGAGAGGGGTGGGGGGGTGTCGGTAGCGGTTTACTGTAGTGGGGTAAGGTATCTCAAGCCTAAATGCAACAGGTTTCTAGAATCAATATAAAAATGTCAAAAATGCAAAGTATACACTAGGAATTGGCTTAGAAGGCCGTATACGGACTACACCCATTGTCCCATTGTTGATTTGAGGGGTTTGCAAACCAAACATATCCTTTAAAGTATTATGAAGGTAAAGATATTTATGATCTTTAAGACTTAAAATTTTGTAGTTTGGATTAAATGGAGTTACAATCTAGACTTTTGTAAAACTTTGAAGGATTTGTAGATTTACAAGATTTGAAATAACTAGTTAGACATACACAATTTTTTACCTATCCTAGTAGCCAAGTATTCTAGATAGACTTCTGTCATGGTGTTAATTATATTAGGGAAAGATAAGAGCAAATTTTTTAAAATACACAACTCATTAAAAAAGTCAATGTAACCAATACAAGGAAAAACAGAAAAACTAAATACGATATGTACCGCATTGCTCGAATCAAAGTATTTTAAACTTTTATGTTGAATGGATTATTTATCTCGCAGAAATCGTTGATTCAATTGCTTTTCGCTTTTTTTTAAAATAATGATCTCGATTATATACGCACACATGCACACCGAATTTTGTAAGCAGTATTATTCATATAATATTAAGTTAACAAACTTACCATTGCTATTGTATTAGATTTAAAACATAATATTATTTCGTCATATCAAACTATGTTTTGTTCCTACATTAAATGCTACCAACAACAACACCATTACCCCAGTGTCTCAAAGGCTCCCGACATTGCGGGCTAAACATGGGGGGGGGGGTGTGTCAGACGTCGTAACTTGACCCTAAGCTTAAAACTTAGAGTAGCTGTTTCTAGATGACCCATGATGAGGGTCCAAAGTTTCACTAGCCAACTGCTAGCTACTTCATTATAAAAGAAGCGCAAATAGTTTAAAGAGCTAGTTTGCTTTATTCCATCACACCCCAAAACTAAAAAAAAGTGAATCTTTGTATAAAAACATTCACTTTTAATTTATCTTAAACGGTAAAGTAAAAAGAAGCGAAAAGAAGAGGATAACTTTGTTTAGAATATGAGGGAGTTTTATCGAATTAATATTAGACTTAAAATCTAGCATCATATTATGAACTAGCATTATACTATTTTAGTAAATGAATTTTTATGTATCTCGCACACAACATTTATGATGCATAAAAATGATAAATAAAGTTTTGATGTGTAATATTCAAATTATACACTAACATTATACTTTTTTTTGTAAATGAATATTTATTGTACACACCTTTATATAACTGTTTGGGTCTACACACACACACATACATACATACATACATATATATATATATATATATGTTTGTGTGTGTGTGTGTATGTATACAACAACAACAAAGCCTTATCCCACGACGTTGGCTACATGGATCAAACGACGCCATTGCACCCTATCGTGTATCATATCTTCTGTGAGATTGTTCATGCGAAGGTCTCCTTTGATCAATGCTTGCCAAGTCCTCTTAGGTGTACCTCTTCCTCCAGCCACATGCATATTCAACTTTTGATTAACCGTTCTCACGGGATGCTCTATTGGTCTTTTCTCCACATATCCAAACCACCTAAGACAAGTTTCCACTATTTTTCCTACAATAGGTGCCACTCCAACTTTAGGTCTCCAACTTTAAAAGCAAACAAAAGTACAGTAGGGGGGGGCTGCCCGAACCCCTACAACAAGGCCACAAATAAGAAAGTAGATACAACAATTAAGAGACCTGGTATATATTATATACATACATACATACATACATACATACAAACATATATACATACAAACTTCAGGTGCTCCGTTCGTAAAATGACGGTTCCTACCCCTCCTAACTCACCCCCTAAACCCCCCTCCAATCCCCCGCCCCTGCACCCCCACCCCAACCGCGCCGTAAGCCCCCCACAAAATGTGTGGCTATTATGCAATTGCATAATAGCCACACATTTTGTGGGGGGCTTACGGCGGGGTTGGATGGGGGTGCAGGGGCGGGGGTAGGGTGGGGGCTTAGGAGGGGTAGGAACCGTCAATTTTACGAACGGAGCACCGGAAGTGCTCGAAAATGACAGTTACAGCGCTACTGTCACCAAAAGTGGGTGTCACTAGCACCCCACTATATATATATATATATGTATGTATATTATATATATATATATATTATATATATACATACATACATACATACATACATACATACATACATACATACATATATATATATATATATATATATATATATATATATATGAACAGTATTATACTCCATCTCCCTCCCATGTCTTTCTTTCATTTTTACTCTTTGGTTCGTCCCATATCTCATCCACTTTCCTTATTTGGTAAAGGAAGTTCCCCAAAAAGTCACCTTTACCCCACTTCACCAAATCCCTGATTTGAACTCCAACACGATTTCTTCTCCATCAAAGATTTTAATTCGAGACTCCATTTGAAGTTACTTCCTTATTCTTCTTCTTCTCCATTTAATTCTTTTAATCTAACTCGGTTTCTTCTTCCTTGATGTGTCGTCGGTGGAATCATCGTCGGCAGTTGGCGGATTTGCGTCTTTACCTCTTCTTTAATGGTGCTTGGTCACTGTGTCATCGGAGGACGTGTAGTTCTTCCATTGCTTTGTTGTGGAGAAGTTTGGAGAGAAGAAGGAATGTGCAAAATTTGGATATGATTGGGGCAAATGAAACATTCCCTGGAGTCGCTGCTGGCAGAGCACGTTTTTTTCATGTGGGCACCTTCCAGTTAAGTTCGTCTCGCCGCTGTCGGTGTCTCGAAGGTTGAAGATGAGCACAATGTTAGCTTTAGAAATGAGTGACTTCTTAAAGGGGGGAAGTGGGAATGTAAATTAATTTTACATCTTAAATTAAAATCTGTGCCAAGTCAAATGTGGAAGTAACTAGTAAGTTATGGGACATCAGGAGTATTATTTAATCCAGCATCACATTATAAGCTAGCATTCTTTTTTTGTGTTTTGAGTTAGTTATCTTGGAAACTTCTCTACTTTTTAGGTAGGGGTAAGGTGAGGTCTGTGTACACCCACCCTCCCCAGACCCACTTTGTTTGATTTTAGTGGGTATGCTTGTGTATACTATAAGCTAACATTATACTTTTATGTAAATTATTACGTAATGCTCCCTGTGTCCCAAAAAGGCTCTTGTTTGGGTTTGGCATAAAGATTTAAAACAAGTTTAATCGTGTGGTTTAAAACTTTAAATTGATATATCAGTGAGATAAAGATGGTGAGCCCACACACTTTTTTTCAAAAAAGGAAACAAGTCTTTGTTTGGGACGTCCCAAAAGGAAAACATGTGTTTTTTTTGGGACGGAGGGAGTTTTACCTACACGCACAACTTTTATGATATACTCCCTCCGTCCTAAATAAATCTTCAAAGTTTTACTTTTTTGGTCAAGTTTTACAAACTTTGACTATAAATTGTGAAAAAGTATATTGAGTTATGATTTAAATTTAATATAATTGAGTTAATTATAAGATGTAGTTTTGATATATCTATAAGATGTAGCTTTGATAAATCAATTTTTTCTAACATTTATCGACTTAAAATTATATTTATTAATGGTCAAAGTGTGAAGATATTTGACAAAAAGTCAATCTAGGAAGTTTTTTTTGGGAGGAAGGGGGTATATGCTTGCATGTTTGTATTTTGTAATCTATATACTCCCTTTGTCCCGATGTATTTGTTCACTATTCTTTTTTGAGCAGTCTTAGTGTTTTTGTACACTTTCCATTTCTTTAATGAAAAAAATTAGTGAGACTAACTTATTTGCCTTCACGTAATAATGCAACCCCCACCTAGAGAGAGTTAAAATAAGGGCATAATGATGACTTCTGTATGTTTTTCTCTCCCCTTGGTCAATGTGTGAAATAGAATGTGGACAGACACAACGCGACATAGGTAGTATATATGGAGGGAGGGATTATAAATGACCGCAAGAGCTATGTTTATTCAAGTGCATATTCTTTAAACTAATAGTGCATCGTGTTTACATTGAGGTGCATTTCTATTGACCTTAACATTCAGGTCATTACAAACCAAAGTTGACATATTTCAGAAATGCCACACCTAATTTTTTAATGGTGACATGTTTGTACTCCCTCCGCCCTTAAAATCATTTACACTTTACGCAAAACAAAGTAAAATCCAAAGTTTTTTCATTTCATTTCATTTAAAGATTGATATATAAATAGAAAATGAAACTTAGAGGGTGTTTGGGATTGCATTTGAAAATAACTTATAGCTTCTACTTTACTAAAACACAATTTTAAATGTTTGGTAATCTGCTTTAGCTTATAAATTATGGCTTTTTAGAAGTTAAAATTGTGGTCTAGAAGTGCTTTCTAGCGAAGCTAAAAATACATGCTTTTTGCTTCTAAATTATGACTTCTACTTTTACATAACTCACCACACTCCCAAACACCCTCTTACATATTTAAAAAGTACATCAAAAGTTCTACAAAACAAGATGCGGTAAGAATATTTTATTTCATCAAATAGGCAATGAAAATACAAAAATAAACAAAAGTTCCCATGATTTTTAAATAGTAAAGTGTGTAAATCATTTAGGGACGGAGGGAGTATTTGATTCAACCCAAGTGTATTTCTTGTATACTACAAGTTCATAATGTTTATACTTTAGGTGTAATATCAATGAACATAAAATGCATAACATTTTAAAAATCAATAACTCAACTTTAGAAAAAACACTCACTCTTAGACAAACATGGTATGATATCAATCTGAAACTTTTAAGGTATGTTTGGTTGGAGGGGAGGGGAGGGGAGGGAAAATAATGTCCTCCCCTTG